AAAATAAATTTTGGATTTTCAGAAACAGTGGCTGATATCCTTCATGTTTAATAACACCAAACCTTCATGTTTGTCGCCTTCATCCTGATCTAAGAGACATTTTCACAATAGAGAACTCATGGCTCCTGCCAATAAACATTAAAGTTGGTTGCAGAAATATTTCCCCTCTGAGCTGTCTAGGGACTGCATAGAGACGAAGATACTTGAGGTAAGAGAGAAGCGACAGTGAGACCTCCAAGTCTACTTTGAGGAAGGGTCCATTTATATATCTATGAGAAAGAAGGGCTGGCTCTGAGTGCCAGTGCTCACCATGTGACATGATCAAGTGCCTGTACTTGAACACCTCATGGAGACCATTACTGGAGAGCTGGAATGAGCCACATGGCCCTGCTTGATGCCTGTGCACAGGGATCACAACTTTAACTCTCTTGATCCCTATCCCACCCAACCACATCCTTCTATAGCTATAGCACTGTGATATATTTGAGAGGAGGGTCCTGTTCAGGGCCCAGAGGGTGAGAAAATGCTTAAGAAACCTCATTTTTACAAATGGACAAACGTCCTCTCAGAGAATGAAGAGGGCAAGGAGCTCCTCACACCTCTGGGTCATAGAAGGCAGGACTCAGGGTTGAACTCCACCTGTCCCCCTCCGTTAATCATGTTCCTTAATTAGTGCACAGGTACCTAGATGTGGGGTATGGGTAGGGCCTGGAAAGAACATGAGGCTCTGCTCTCTTCTCCTGTGTATTCCCAATATCAATATATCTGTGCATTTCCAACTTCCATTATCTTTGGCACCATCTCTGCTGAATCAGCCACCCTCAGAATCTGGGAACCCTGGAGAAAGAGCACAGTCTCCTGATCTTGAAGCAGCAGCAACATCTATGAAATTACATGCATCGATACTAACAGTTCCTGGGAACATCCCACAAACTCATTATAGCAATAGCTACAGACCCTCAGCTTCCATGATTGCTTCTTTGGCTCCATGTCTGGCAATTTGGCCAGTCTAACCACTACTGGGCTCCAGTGATGAGGTCAATAAGGACTATGATGCTGCCTCAAAGTTTATATAGTGCTTCAGGTCCATGGGAAATTAAAGAAGAACCCTTCCTTTTTTTATGACTGGTTTGACTCTGCAGACTTATGTTGACACCCTTTTGGGCTTTGCTGAATTGCCCTTGATCATACAGAAGACACCCCATTGACATTCAGGACCCTGGGGCACTTCTGGTTTTAGGGGATTTTTTGCTATAATAGATTATTAAAATCCCATTTATTACTCAATCAACATATAGATAAGTATAATTGCAGCTGTATTACATGCATTTTGCCACTGATGCTGAAAGAAATCAATTTATGAGGTACATTCACGTGTGGCTCTTCAATGTAAAACCTGCTTATTTCACAAATATAATGCAAAGCATCATTCCCACATTACTGTTTGGTTGGGATGCTATGAAATGCCTTTCAGTTCTTTGGGAGTTAGAAGAATAAAAAGTTTAGTGTAGCCCAAAGCATGTTCTAACCTGCTGCATGGCATCTCCCCAGAGCCTACAGAGGAGATGCCTTCACATGCTTTCCTACGTGGTACTGTGATTGTGAAGCACTGAGTACTGTTGTGTCCAGTTCACTAATTCCTCCAGAAAGCAGTCATAACACTGTCGTGGGATGGGCCATTTTAGAGAAGGTTATCTAATGGATGCACAAATTATTTTGAGGATTATGAAAAGAATATTCATCACAATTTTTTCAGATAATATTTCAAGATCTGCTTCTGAAGAATTGTGTGAAAGTAAAATTTTCAACTTAAGGATAGTAAGGTTTAGTCATCTAAAAGGGATAGTCCATCCCTGGCCCAGGTCAGGAATGGAAAAGAAGCAAGAAAAAATTTCATTTGTGATGCCCCAGTCAGAGATATCCTGTCCATCAGCTCAATTCTGTTCAATGTGTGCTTCCTATAAAGATATCAAGAGAATGACTAAGTTACCAGGATTACACAAAGAGGCAATTTGAATTGCATAACACATGGTCTTTGGAAAGGCCAGAGGACCCGGCAAAATAGAGGTGAAACATAAAGAGGAGACTGAAAGTTGCAACATTCCAGAAAAGGACACAGGGCCGAGAGAGTGGACAAAGACATAATTTGGTAGGAACTGGAAGGTAAATGGCCATAGAGCTATCCTTGAGAATCATGGGGAAGATAATATGAGTGAACATGTCAGTGTCCTCCGCCCATGTTCACTGTCCCAGCTTCTCCTTCTGAGATTCTGGGAGGGGGGGAACTAGGTCACTGCCTGTGTCCCAGTGTCTTTCCAACCATACAAACGGAGCTTCTCACTCTGTGCTCACACAGGAATGGCACAGTCCAGTGAAGAACAGGTGAGTCCGGATAAGATATGGTAGCAGCATTTCTGGGAATAGGAATGATCCCTGGGTAGCAGCCTCTTCTGGTAATACCCAACTTCCTCTGTATTATACCAGAACTAGACCCTGAAGGACAAAGACTGGATTTTTCATATTCCAGGTCAGTGAACACAGCCTCCCTCACTATCTTCTGGCTATAGGCTGATTTATACACCATTACTTGGGAAAGCAGCTTTGCTCACACAGTGTTCAATGCCACTGAGGAAATCAGACAAAACCTGCTTTTTAATGATTTGGCTTTCTTCTGCAGCATCCATATCTTGGAGAAGACAAATGATAAAGTGATTTTTTTAATCAAAAGTCAGGAATTGGGGCCCACTCCAGGGAACGTGTCCTGCTTCATCCCCCCAGATTGGAACTCAAATACACTCCTGGGCAGCATAACGTGGATGATTTTTCTCATTGTGATCAAACAATCCTAGAGACCAAGGTGAGAATGCCCTGAGATTGAGAGCATGATGTGTCAGGAAAGAATGAGTGTGGGTAGAGGAATCTTTGGAGGTTTTATAAGAAAGAGAGAATCTGTTGTAAGTTTATAGGGGAAGGTTCAGATGCTGCACTGAAGATGAGCAAAGTGATGGGGAGATGAAGGCAGTGTGACAAGCTAGGTTACCTGAAAAGATCAGACTCAGCAAACTTTTGAGGGAAGTCTGCACCGAATGCTGAGAAAGAGAAAGAGAGTTCATGGCTGGCTTTTGGAACTACATGGGGTCTCAGTGAGCTAACATCCTGGGGGAAGAGTTCATTGACAATGGTGATGGGTTGAGACCTAGAGCTCCCAGCAATGATTAAAATGTTGACAACACTCTAAAACCTTTCTCAAGGAAGCCAAAGTAATGTTTCCCATCTAATGAAAACTGGAGAAACTGTAAGTTTTTAACATATCCTTTATACAAAATGCCATCTCTCACATCAGCCTCAGGTCTAGGAACACTGGCACTCACCTAGGACAAATTTGTTGAAAATCAATATGCTCAGGAGAAGAATAATGTAGAAAAATACTCAGGAACCTCCCTATTACCATTTGGGGGGAAGAATGAGAAATCTCAGAATGCAATCCAGTAGCTCAGCTCCCAACATCTCCTGATGTAACTTATCAATTCTTCTTTCCTTAGGTGAATACAAAACCAAAAGACTCCCCACAAAAACACTTTCTTTCTCTGGCTACACTACACAAGGTGCTTCCTCTCCTTCCCATCACAACAAAACTACTCCTTCCACCTCTGGTTCTCTGATGAGTGATTCTCCACCACTGGGGTATTATTCACAGAGCTGCAGTCTCAGTCACCTCCTCATCCTGCTGGGAGTTCGTGAAAGAGAGAACCTGACTTGTAGCCAGTGGTGATTCAGTCTTATCAGGCTTAAGTCCATCTATTGGTAGTCCTGAATGGACTTGCAAAAATGTACAATTTTATCATATCCTTATCAGCTTCCAACCTGTGATATCACTCATTATCCAATAATGTGTAATATCTCTGGCATACAGCCACACATTTATTCTACTACACCCATCTGAGTTTCTCATCTGTTTTCCAGCTTCAGTAAGCTAATAGCCAAAATATTCATCTTCCGCATTTGGTCTCATAATAGAAGGGATCTCTAGTGAAACTAAGGTAAACTAAAGGAAATATGTGCTATAAGTTGGAAAACACTCTAAGGTTAATAAAAATCTCTGAAGTAAAGCAAATTCATAGTACTTCTTTCATAGATGTGACATAAGAATTGCTCAGGTGCCTTTCAGTGGATAATCTATAATTATACACTTTTATAAATATGAAAGTGAATCCTATCTACTATGTAATATTAAGTATAAAATATATTTTAATGGACATATTATAAGAAAAATAATATGATCATAAAGTGTGGTTAAAGACCAATTTTAAAATGCATTATTTATTGTCCAGGTGAAAAGATACTGACAACAAAATTTTTGTGTTGGGAGAGAACTGGCTGATATCCCCTGTGTTATTAACCCAGAAAGCTTCATGCTCTTCTTGATAGTAATCTGAGAGGAATTCATATGACTGACAACATTTTAGTCCTGTCAATGAGCAGTAAGTTGACTATGGAATGATTCCTCTCTAAGAATATGATCTGAGTATGTGTGCTGGTTTGAGGCAATTGGGAGTCCACAACACCATCCCACATGTCATAGCATTGAGGTAGGGGTTATGACCAGGGCATTGGATAAACAAGGTTATCCCTGAGGAGCTGGTTGACATATGACATGGTGTTGGGAATGGATCTGAACACTTGGGGGCACTTGAGGCCCATTTTTATAGATTCTGGGGGTGTTGAGAGCTAGAAGGAGCCACCTGACCCTGCCTGATATGCTCTGCTCAGGGCTCATGGCTTTGACCTACCTCAATACCTCTGACTACCCAGCACCACTCTTGCCCATGTGACATGCTCAGGCAAAGCAGCCTGAATTAGGGTCCAAGGAGTGATCAGAAAATGGAGGAACCTTATTTGCATGAATGAACCCTCCCCCTGTCATAGTAAGAAGAGGGGAAGGGAGAAACATGGGGGAAACACTGCACAGCAGAAGATTGGACTGGTGTAAGGCTTTTACCATGGCCTGGTCCTCTGTCCTCTTTGCTCTCCTTACTTACTGCACAGGTAAGTAGATAGAGGAGACAGCAAGGGCCTGGGAAAACTATGAGGTTCTTCTCTATCCGCCCATTTAGATTCCACAATGGCATCTCTTTGTCTTTCTAACTTCTAGCATCTTGGGGACAGTCTGTGCTGACCCAAACATCCTCAGTGTCTGGAAACCTTGGACAGAGAATCTCCATCTCATGCACTGGAAGTAGCAGCAACATTGGTGGTTATTACATGTACTGGTACCAACAGCTCCCAGGATCATCTCCTAAACTCATCATCTATGAGGATAGCAAGAGACCCTCTGGGTGTCTGACCGCTTCTCTGGCTCCAGTCTGGCAACTCAGGCACCCTGACCATTACTGGTCTTCAGTCTGAGGATGAGGCTGATTATTACTGTCAGTCCTATGATTACAGCCTTGGTACTCACACAGTGCTCCAGACTCATGGGGAAGTGAGATAAAAACCCTTCCTTTGCTCACAGTATTAGGAGTATAGCACGTGCTGCTCATTCTTAGTTTATGCTTTTCATTGCCTAAGATATATAAATGGCATCATACAGGCTCCATCTCTCACATCTGGATTACTTCACACTGAAGACTCTCTATGAGAACAATCTGCGCTGGTCTGAAGGGTTCTACAGAGTTCTTCAGGGACTTCATGACCCCTGGGCACATCTGCCTTCATACTATTGTGCTTTAACAGATGAATCCTAAAATTATGCTTTCTTTATCCCATCATTTCAGTGATAAATAGAGTCTCTTTTGAATTTTATTATTTTTCTACTGATTCTGTAGGAAACCAATATAATTTCTTGGACCTCTAAAAAAGTCTGTAAAGCATTGAGGTGCACTATGGAGGCAGATGTTGGGATGGGAAAAGTGGCTCATGCCTGCATTCCCAGTTAGTTGAGAGGTGGAGATCAAAAAGCCAGGACTGGAAGGATCAAGTTTCTTGATGGATGGAGGAAAGATAGTGTAGCACAATGCTCTAACCTGTTTGACTGAATCTTGCAAATTATCCATTGGAGATGCTGTCTGATGCTGTCTCACATAGTGACAGACTCCTGAAGCCCAGGGTTCCCCTGTCATATCTACTTTATAAATCCCTAAAAAACACTAGACATAAACTAAGGAATGTGACAAAGGGGATTATATTTAATAGGTACACTGTTCATTTGGGGATATTTAATAAAGTTCCATCATATACATTGTGGACAGTATCTCAGAATATGCTGCCCAGGAATTGATTATGACAATGAAATTTGATACTTAAGGAAATTTTGATTCAGGGCTATAAAAGGAATTGTTCCAACTTGGTCCAGGCTCTGGCAGAGAAGAAAACGAGAAGTTGAATATTCAATGTCCATGCAGAGCTGCCCTGTAGAGTGACTCAGGGAACTCAGGGAACTTCCTGCAGGAACATCGGTAGGGAGGTTGAGTCCAAGGATTATGTGAAAAAGCAAACTAAACTGCACAATGTTTGTTCTATGGAGGAGCTCAAAAGATAAAGTTAGGGCCAGATGTGATAAAAAGGGGATAGCATGACATGGTTACTACTTACTGTGACACTCAGGGTGCAGACTCAAATGTCCTAGAGAGTAAACAAAAATATGAAAATTAAGAACTGGGTCTTAAACAGAAATTGGGGCTGTCCCTGTGTGCCCTGGAAAGGGGGATCACATGATCTCACTTTTCACTATCCTAGCCACAATCCCTATAGATTCCAAGAATGTCTAGGTCACCTCCTTCTCTCCCCAATCTCTTTCCCAGAATAACAAATGGAGAAAAGATCACACTCTGTACTCACATAAGCTTTGCACAACACAGTGAAGAATGTGAGTTCAGTGAAGAACTGGTTTGTGTAGAGACATGAAATTAAGCTATAATCTTCCATCCTATTCAGAATGCAAGAAGGGAGAAAACAATTCATGGATGTGTTTCTGGATCTTTGGTGTTGTTTCTCAGGGATTTTTGACTGCATGCTATTGGAGTCAAGATGATCTTGGTCTGGAGTTCTCTTTTTCCAACAAATGCTGGCTTAGAGAATAATTTTTTACAAGTTCTTAGAAATCACAACATTCCCCCAGGCCACATGTCTACCTCCCTCAACACCTGAGGCTAGAGGGATAAGAGGTAATTGGGAACCCAGACCTATCTGAGGACTCTCAGGATGCAGAGCTATATAAGATTCTATAACATAGTGTGGGTTCCTCTCTATTTAACCTTTATCATTTACTGCACAGATGGATGGAAGCTCCTTTCAGGAAGCATAATTAAGGATAGGGTCACTTGGGAAGTGAATTGAACCACCTGAAGCATGATGTTTTTCTCCAGATGCTTGTGATCCTGAGTCAGCCATCTCTATTGTTTTATTCTGTGGCTCATACAGCCACAATCTCCTGCACTGGAAGCAGCAGCAATGCAGAGAGTAGGTATTTGTCCTGGTAGCAGCAGCTGTCTAATGGGAACCTCATTCTTATGTAAGGCATGGAATTAGCTTCTCATGCATTATCACCAGATTTTCACATGCAGGTCAGGGAACAATGTTCCCTGAGCATTTTGGGCTACAGATGGTTCCTGCATGTTTTGGACCAGGAGAATCATGAAGTAGTCATAAAAAACCTGCTGACTTCTATGCGAGCACTAAAGAAGCCCAACCTTACTGAGATTCTGAGATATGAGGGGATCAGGTGCATTACAGATAAAATATCAAGGCAAATCACCATGAAAAATGAACAGACAAACAATGAATGGCAGGAATACAAAAGAAGTTATCTTGAGTGCAGGATACTAGTGTGAGGGGTACAGTAAATGAAAAGGGTAAAGGAGGGTGAATATGGTTGTTGTATTTTCTAAACATGTGTGAATATGGAATATGGAAAATGGAAACATGTGAATGTCATTTTAGGAAGAGAGAGTTGAAAAAGGTGACTAATGTAAAAATGAACCAAACCTGGGGCATGTATGGAAATGTTACAACTAAATTCACTATACCACTATTATGTACTCATGCAATTGTTGAAAAACAAAGAAAAAGAAAAAAAAAACCAAAACACTGTCTGACTAGCAATGGGACTTTGCTGTGGAGAACCCAGTCTTTGTCCAAATGAAGAGATTTAGCCTGCTGTAGCAGGCTAAAAATGGAGTTTCTGACTGATACCTGAGAAAATAGTCTACCAAATATTTCCTCATCTCTTCCAATTCTGCAAATGTATAATCATTGACTGGAACATGTGTTCCAAGTTGTGCTTTTTCATATTGGTCAAAAATTCCAAGATGCCAGGTTCAGAACCCTGAAATCCAAGACCATGAAAATTCATGACAGAATCAGAAACATAGCATCAACTGTGAATGAGTAATATAACCTACTCTCCAAAGGTCTTTCCATCCCCATCATTTCCTAAACAAGTCACACGTGTCAGGACCAGCTCTATAACATGTAGGTACAATGTGAACAGCACAAAGGTCACCTTGTTTTACTCAAGGTGCTATGTTCTGGTACAAGAGATAAGAAAATCCCATGAAAACATCAAAAGAAAATGGTTGTCGTTTAGAGCAAGGACAGAGTGGGGGTTTGTGGCTATAGGATCCTACAGCATGTTGACAAGAAAGAGAGAGGGTATGATTTAAGTGAATGAAGAAAAGACTCATAGATAAAGAGAAAATCATCACATGAAAGGCAAAGTGGAGGTAGTGGACAGCTGGCTTATTCTAAGAGATCAGATTCAACATGTTTTTGTGGAAAAGAGGTACTGAAGCATGGGTTTTGGGAAAGAGGATTCAAGGTTAGCCTAAAGAAGAGGAAAGGATGGGAGGGAGCTGTCCTGCTGTGGGAAAAGTTCACAGAAAGTGTCTTGGGCTGAAACCCTGAGTTCATCACCATGATGGAAACCTTCACAACGGTCTGGATCTTTACTCACTCCAACCACAGTAATTATCCTTTCCAGTGGAAAGTGGGGAATTACTCTCTGAGTTTTATTTGTATTGTAGCTTCTCAAAGACCGGCCCACCACAGCTTCTCCCAAAACAAGCAACACCACCTTTCCTCCAGGACACATTAATCTGAAATTCAATATCCCCAAAGAAAGACAGAAAATAGAAAAAAAAAACTATCCTCAGTTTATGTCCAGATCAGATCTGGTATTCTCCACCTCAAGGTTCCTGGCCACAGCAATGTCAATCTTTTACTGAGCTAGAATCAGGATGAGTCTGACTCTGAGTCAGCTGTGAAGCAGCTCAATCAGGACAGAAATCCACTTATGGAGATCATGAATGCACTCACACTTTTTTCACTGACTTGGATTTTCCTTCTCACTTTTCCACCTGGGTTACTAGGTCCTTATCTTGTAATGTATTGTACACTCAATGCTAGAGACAATTGGCCTCAATGATCACAAGTCATTCGATTTTCAGTCCCATTACCTTCTTATTATGACACTAACTGCTCTTCTAGAGTACACTGTTTTAACAAAGGGAAGCATCTCTGCAAAAAAATATCAGGATCAACAGAAATAAATCTGTAGCATCTCTTGAGAAACAATCCAGGATCTCAGAAAACAATCTCTGATTCTAAAGGGGATCTACTCTTCAGACAAAATAGATATGAATAGAGCCTCTCTCTGGGGTTATCTAACTAGATAATTCTAAAAGAATCAGAATATAAATTAAAAAACATAACTCTTATGAAATTAAGTAATTTCATGTGCCATATAATTTAGTAAGGAGAGGAGAAGTAAGGTAGCAAAGCTTGTTCAAAGACCATGCTAAATATACTTTATTTGTGTTTCATGAAGATGAAACTTTGAAACTAATTTTCTGTGTTAGGGGTAGCCTGACTGATAGATTTTTGAATGTAGAATTTTGATAATCATTCACTTGCCACAATATTTCATTTTTGAAAATGAGGTCAGTGAAGCACAAAAGAGAAAAGAACAGGAGGTATTTAAGGTAGTCACCAAGTTGTTCAAATAATTTGAAAGATGTAGTGGAGGTTGTAAGAAGGTTGTGGAAAGGATGAAAGGTTGGTCTCGTGTACTAATGAGTGCTAGACTTTTGTTCATCTCCTATCTCGTTAAGACACCTTGTGTCCACATTACTCCACCTTCACTTGGATGCTATGCTTTAACTCATGCTTGATGCCACATCGCAGCACTGCCCTTCAAGGAAAGGAAAAATATGCAGATGTCACATTGAACATCTTTTGAACAGCATTGAACTCATCTTTGATGTCTTTAGTCCTCCATCCAATCATTTCCCTTGGTATTTTAAGAGGTGAGAGTCTATACTGACCCTAAAATCACCTTACCACTTGCAGCTCAGAATGGAAGACACAAGTTAATACATATGTTGTAAAAGTGCTTAAGTAATAAATGTTCACATAATCAAGAGTCAGCCTTAATTAATAAACTACTCAAGGAGTCATTTTAACGTTTATTCATTGACTAAATGTCCTGTATCCACC